TTTTTTTTACCATTGTATCTAGAATTTGTTTACATTGCAAAAAAGAAAAAAAAAAAAAAAGCGAAAAAAAAATGGTGGAAAATGTTTTCCCACCAAATAGGTGAGAAAACAAAATCAAGTTTTTGTGCATCAAACGATTGTACCTAGAAAAAGGTGGAAAACCAATTCCAGGAAAAAAAGTGCCATCAAACACGACAAAAGTAGGAAACGGAATTTCAATTCCAACTTCCATGGAAAATAAAGGGCTATCAAACAGGCCCTAAAATTCACTTTCTTTCCATCCAAATTCCACTCTTGCAATCAAACGGACCCGTATAGTATTTCCACTAGGACGAAACACTAGTTGTTGATGGACAATAGATTTGCCAAACCGTATGGTTGGAAGTATTTCTTTTGTTACTTGTTGCACCGAACCTGAATATTGCGCATAAATACCAGTGATTGTAGTGCAATATGCAGTATTTCTGATGTTCCGATTTCCTGGTACCAAAAAATACTTGAGATAACATTACATGTTTCGGCTATCCATTGTCCGGATTCTCAAAGTGCTAAGGTCACATTATAACCTCACTCTGATGTCTCAAAAAATCCAAACAATGAATGACTATTTCGGTTGATCTTATTGATACACAATTAAGGAATCTATCTACTAAAGGGTAATGCTAGTGGTACATCACCACTAACATAAGGGTTTACATAATGGACACCTGGCGCTCTTTCATTGGAGGGAGGGTTGGTGGGATCGGCACTCCCTCCAATTATGCATGCTTGAATGACATAGAATTTGCCATTTATAGCACTCATTTAAAAATAACTAAAGTACGAGAAACGATGTTTAAATAGTACACCATCGTTATGGCCGACCTTGAAGAAAAAAATGACTCGAAACAATTGCATAAACTAAAGTACAGCATCTAGTACTAACCCATTTTTCACTCGATGTGTTCCTCTCATGGCTAACTGCATCATTAACAAGCCCACTTCGAAACTTCAATTAAGATACATTATAGAAAATGCTCATCATATACCAGATTAATGTACCATCAGAGTTTAAACATTAAGATACAATAGAGCAAATGCTTGTCATAGACCAGAGTAACATGAATTTGCATCAAATAGTCCATCACAAATACAGGGTAAGTAGATTACAGACACTATGCAAATGGGTGAAAGGCCAAATTAAATAGGAGGATGAAATTAAGAAGAATAGAATGAGGTTTTGAGAAAAAAAAAATTCCTCCTGCAGAAAAACCAAATACGACCAACGTTAAATAACACTATGTACAAACTGTAGCCTTAAAGTACGTATCTACACGCCTTTCTTGCTTGCCATTCATCTGCATATGAAGTCTGTAGCCTTACGTATCTACATGCCTTTCTTGCTTGCCATTCATCTGCATACGAAGTCATGGATCATCTTTTTCCCCATGGAAAGCACCAACATCCCTAGGGGAGAGAATCAAAGAGAGAAGATATAAAAAAAAATTGAGTAGAAACTAGAAAGAACGTGTTTGGCTGAGTTCAAAATTTTCACGTATAAGTAAATAAGTTTGTTTTAAAAAAGGTAACTTATCCACATATGTTTGGAAATGATAAGCTACTTGTTACTTATTTTTAAGCCTAGCCAAACGTGTATAGATAAAATAAGCTAAACAACGATACTCAAATATGGTGATATGGTTATCATGCAGCATAGAGTGCCTTAAAACAAATTTATATACCTTTTTATTTTCATTTCCATATCGGCGTTGATCATTGGAGTAAGATGTGTCAGTTGGCATGACAGGAACCCTTCCTCCTCCACTCTGTCTCTCTTCTCTTACTCTGGTAAATATGCCACTATACCCTTCTGCTGCTGCAGGATCATTGTCGTCCCAATCGCCAAATTTGGGAACAGCAGGGCTGTCATCCGGCTAAAACATCCAAAAGAGTGTCAATAATAAGTAACTTATTTTGAAATTTGATTAAAACTTGCTTATTTACTTTCAAATAAAACTTTTAAGCTTGGCAAAACATGTTCTTAGTTGCCAAGATTTCCACTTTTCCATATACTACAATTTGCCATCACCAACATTTAATTACAAGAAGCTTAAGAAAAATGACTAGTGACCCAAAACTTGATAAAAACCTTCCGTTTTATGGTTATCTTGTATAATTCAGCAGTTACACCTTCTTTTTTGTGTGTATGTGTGCACACGCATTACAATGATTTATATGATGAGAGATTAGTGAAAAAGACATTACAGTTTCATCGCCTCGTGTAACTGATTTCAAACGAGATCTTCCAGGAGTGGAGGGTGCCATGCCATGACTACCTTCAGATGTACCCTTTCTATTCCAAGAGGGAGAAGAAACTGCACTGCCTTTCCGTCCAATCCTTGCCTGGGACTGTGGGTGCAGTGGAGACTGTTCGACACTACGATCATATCCTATCTTCGTAGGCATATCACCATAATGATGATGAGTTGAATTACTTGTAGTTCTCTGCTCTTCGTTTACATAATGTAACGGAGAAGATGTAAGTCTATTTACATCACGTTTTACTTCAACCTCGACAGTTTCTTGAGGGTCATTTTGATTGATCTTGTTGCCTTTCTTACCATTCCTGGCACTATCAACATGAGCAGTATTGGAAACATTTTCTGCACTTCCCCAGGTGCCAACTTTGGGTACTTGTGATTGGTGCTGCAAGAATGAGGAACCAAGATCAAGAACGAGCGCATGTATGCAAAAGCCCAAGCAAAAAATAAATATGCAAAAGATTATTTATATTAATAACCAGGATTCAGTTTCCTTTTATAGAACAATTAACTTCAGGGGTTTGTCACTAGAATTTAAAGAGAATCATTTAAGGACTAATTTAACCCCTGTTTGGTTTGGATAAAAATTAGAATTTGAGTAAATTTTGATAAAAGTTGGTGAAATGTGTGGTTGCAAATAAGTATGGGGGAAAAATGAGTTTTTAAAAAAGAAAAAGACCGTGCGTATGCATAGCACTTCTCTTTAAAAAATGGGGGCCAAAGAGGGGCTTAATGATGCTACAGAATTGGTGCAACCCCTTCTGCCTGAGTCCATTGGGGTAGGTTGGGGCTTGTATAGGTTCTAATGAATCGATGTAACCTGTTTTGACAGGAAATTATATGACTTACATGCTTTCTTCTTTTGTTCAATGTAAATATCCCTTCGGCAGGAACTGATAAATCGCCATCCAATAATCTTCTTTAATTTTATTTAGTATCAATCAATCAAAATATCAGTACTTGTCATCCTTGTAAGCAAAAGCTGATTTTAATTTAATATAAATGTAGATTATGGATTTTGGTGGTGAATATCACACATTTTTGGTTAAATTAGTCATCAGAATCATCCATGTTTCTTGACATTTTAAATCGGATATCCCTCTTCTTCATTCTTTTTTCTGTTTTGGTTTGTCTGAGGGTTGGTCAGTATTTTTCTGACCACTGCAGTGGTGTAGAACAATGATGAAACAAGAACAAGATTGAGAAAAGAGAGAAGAGAGAGGAGAAAGAGGAGTGAATATAGAAGACATTGGGGTGGGGGGGAGTATTAATTTATTTCATAATCAAAGTCTTAAGTATTACAATAAATAGACCCTCTTTGTACAGAGTCTAAGCAAACCTAGTTTGAGAAGAAAACAATAACCTAATTCTAGCCAAACTAGAAAATTGTAATAAACTAGTGTAATCTAATCAGAACAAACAAAATTTAAATCAAATTATACTTTAAAATCTCATGTAAATCCTATATTTATACTTATATTCCTTCCCCCATCACAATATCTATTGACTGGAGAATGGCAAGATAGAAGCAAATAGATCTTTAAGTCTGGATCATGGGATCTATAATAAGAGTTTTGTGGAATGTTATAGCCCTATTGATTTTATGGTGTTAGTGGATAACTGGATAAACAAGCAACTATTCTTATACAGGGAAAGAGAATAAAAGAGACATACAAGAAAAGAACAAATATTGATCCCATGACATACGGGAGATACGATTATACCATAAATAGAATGCAAGATTTTTCGTAATTCATCTTCTTTCCTAACATACAGTAAATTTAAAACTGAGGACTTACAAGCCCAACTATACCCATTGCTGATGCCAATATAGTTAGCAAGCAAACCTAAAACCACCTGATATTAATTTTAACAACAGCAATTAGAAACGAAAACTTGACCCTCAGCAGTCATTAGAGAAACAACCAAGTAAGTTAAACCAACAAGGATCTAGAAACTTGGAGCACAGAGGTGAGTGACCAATTAGATGAAGTCGCATCCTACTTTGTTGGAATTTTTTT